CCAGTGTAAGCCAAAACTCTTATACTTCCAGCCCCTTTCACTTCTAGCAGGTCTCAATTTCCAACTTTCACTATCTGGTTGCTTTTTAATTCATTAAAACTCTTGAACAGGTTTGGATCCCTACACAAATATTCAATAGCTCCTGTGTCAAGGCACCAATCTGCACAGGACTCTGCCCCAGAGATTCCGATAATGGCTGGCTGATCGTTCCCCTTTTCCCTGTTTTGACTTTTATTCTTTTGAAACCAGCAATTTTTAATTTTATGGCCTGGTTTCTGACAAAAGTGACACTTTTCTTTTTCTTTCTGCAATATCTTGCTAAATGACCAACTTTCTGGCATACAAAACACTTCCTGTTCTCGCTTTTTCTAAAATTTCCGGACTCCCATGCACTCCTAAAATGCTGGAAGGGACATCAACACTTTTGTTATAAGCATTTTCTCAGACAGTGCTTCCCCAGCTTGTTTCAGCTTGGTCTTTAACTCCTCAAGATTCGAAATAAAATAGGCCACTGTCATATTGTCACTAGAAGACATATTAAAAAACCTCTGCTGCAGTAAATGTAAGTGACGATAGATGGGTTAACGGGCCTTTTTCGACTCTTGAAACAATTAATTTTTGAACTTTAGCATCTTTCTTAAGCCAACTTTCAAGGTTTCCTCCTGCAGATGAAGGTTTCTGTTTTTGACCACTTGGCAACATCATAAAACCCTCTCCCTTTTAACATGACTCTTGTCTGAAACTCCCACAACATCCAGTTTTCATTGCCGATTAATTGTTGAAACATTTGAAATGTCACAACAATATAATTATTGTTCTTAATTATTTTCATATATTTTGGACTTATTTAAACAATGTTTAAGAGTACTATTTCGTACACCTAGCGACCTCTATGATTCTTCTGACTAGTTTTCCTAACCTAATATGAATCGAGAATTCCATTATTTCCGAGAAACCTGTAGCGCTGTCATTTTTATAATTTCGACAGGCTTGACAGACCAAGAAAGAAAAGGACAGAACCATTTGGGTACTTTTGACTTGGGCTTTTCTATTTTGTCGTGGGACCGAAAAGGTCATCCAAATTTTTAATCTTAAAAGTCTTAAAATTTTGTCTTTATTTTTGGCCATCGAGCCCATAGTTTTGTAAATTAACTAGCCAGAATAGTGATTAATCGTGTCAGCTAGAACGTTTCTTGGAAAATTAACCTATTGTTGATTTTTGTGAAGATTTTTGAAAGTGAGGTTAACTATCGGCCGTACAGGTATGTAAATCCCTTTTTCTCTCTGATGAATGAGTCCTTATATTTCTTCGATTCATTCAGGCAACTTTGGCCAGGACGAAAAAATCCTTGACTGCACTTATGCCCGTATTACATCTGTGTATTTTTCCGTGTATTTATTCATGTAGTTCAAGGTGCCAACATTATTTTGTTTTTCATAATGCTGATTTATGTTGCGCTTGAAGTTTTTCGGTTATCATCCTGAACTACATGAATAAATACACGAAAAAATACACAGATATAATACAGGCATTATCCAAGTGAAAATTGACCAATTTGAGACCATGCCGTTCTGCATCCCAAAGAAAATCTGGGCCCCCTTTTCAAGGAATGTTGGTGTCCTATAAGAAGTAGATCCCCAACCATTATTTGGTTGTCTCCAGCCAGTTTGGTACTTCCAGATCTCAAGTTTGTGAAAACCTCCGATGCTTTACAAGATTCCGCTCAGACTTGTATTAGTTATTTACCTAACAAATGGGGAAAGTGATACTTTACCGCACTCAACGGCAGTTGACCGAACGACGCGAAGCGGAGTTCGGTCAAGCCGTTAAGGGCGGTTAAGGCACTTTCCGCATGTGTTAGGTACAAAATTTCACCTATGAGCATTTACATCTCCAAAAAAAGGCATTGATAAAATTAATCAATGAATCAGATTTATTAATGAAATTAGATTAGATTTAGAAATTATCAAAAATCCATTTTCTGAAAAAGAAAGGATTTTTGATTATAAATATCAAATTCTACTTTACCGCACACTATGCGGTAAAGTGCACTTTACCGCATACTTTGTAGTCCACTTTACCGCACACTATGCGGTAAAGTGATACTTTCTATTTGCAAATACGTGCGGTAAAGTGCACTTTACCGCACGCTCGTAGGTAAAATTATTTACCTATGGGTCCCATAAATGTGCCATATTAATTACCGTTACTTATTATTATTTTTTTTTCTATCGCCCCCTATCGATTAGCTTTATTAGCTAATTAATATCTTTATAAATATTAATTACCGTTAATTATTATTACCTTTTTTTCTGTTGCCCTTATCGTTTAGCTTCATTAGCTAATTAAAATCTTTGTGAAATCAATTACCGACTCGTTTAACGTATAGTAGTATTTGGCTAGAATAGGTAACTACTGTTTTATGGGTTATTATAATTATTACAAATTTATTTCTTCCATATCGAGTACCGATAGATATAATATAGGTATAGTGGATTCATTAACCTTTAGAGGTTAATTTAACCTTTAATTTTAAATCAATAAGGTGGTAGTTCTACAAGGTAAACCAATGTAAAATGTTTAGGAAGTTAAATATAAGTTATATGGTTACATATTTTGAATTTTAATTACAGGTAAGACGGTAGGGCTCTCCCCGATATCCTTGATTTCCGGTTTTTGATATTTATAACTCCCTAGGGATTATTTATTACCTTTCTGCATTTATAAGTTTGTTTTTATTTGATTTGATTGACTTTGGGTCGAAAATTAAAGGTTAATGGTATTATGACTTTCGCATTTATACTTAGGTAAATTTCATCGTGGGTATTTATTTAATTGTTTTCAAATTTCAATCCTTTAATATACTTATTTAAGTTAAGTTTTGCTTTTGGAAAGCTGCTTAATTTTTTTTTTTTTTAAATTGAATACTGAACAATATTCTCCTTTGAACAATTGAACAAATTTTTAATGAACAACAAGTTCGCCATCTTTTCACAAATTTTTAATGAACAACCAGTTCGCCATTTTGTCAACAAATTTTTAAAGAACAACAGTTCGACCTTTGGTAAATAAATTATTGTTTTTAGAATTCCAAAACTTGTGTTTTTATTGAATGGGTTAAATGTCAGATAGCTATTGGATTTTGGATTTATTTTACCTTTTCAGATTTTTAAATTTATCTTTTTAAATACTAGCTAACTATTTGAATAGTGTCTAGTTTGGCTATTCTTTTATAATAAAAATAATTTTATACAAACTAGTGGCGCCCTCTCTCTACTGTACCAACACCAAGGACCACCCCAAGCTAAACAACCACTGAGCATAGTCGAGCACAGATTATGAGCATTCTTTTGTTTGGACAAGAGAGCATTACATAATTTTAGCACTGTGCCTTGGTCCTGCTCTATCATAATTTCTAACAACCGCCCAACATAACTTGAAGGACGTACCATCGTCACCAAAAGTATCTGGGACAAAAATAATGCATAATAATCTCCTGGACTAATTCTACTGTCATTCATTTCAATGCATTTAAATCGTTGTTTGACAAATATTTGACAATAAAACTCATATAATAGTACAGGAGCTAATATGATGCTGTCCCAGTTACTTTTGGTGACGATGGTACTTTTGCCCTTCGCAGCACAACAAAGGTTTCTTTTCTGCTTTTTTTCTGGTCCCCACACTTCAGAACTACCAGCCTCTATTTCTGTAGCTATGTCTGGGCCCATAACCACTTGTATTGGCAAAAGTAAAAACTGTATTGAACTACTAATTATTTATTTTAATGAGAATCCACATTACAAAAACTACGACTATAGCCGTGTTCGTTTTTTTTTCATCTTTTTCGTCGATTTGCTCCGAAATTTTGACAGGCACGTGATATGTAAATTGAAACTGACTGATCCAGTCACGTGCCTGTCAAAATTTCGGAGCAAATCGACGAAAAAGATGACAGAAACGAACACGGCCTATGATGATTACTTGACACCATCTTGACACACGCGTCATTTTGTTAAAAAACACCTTCAACTATACCTGCTAGATTTATCATTGTTCTTTATTTAACACAAACACCGCATTCTGGTGAACCGCATAACATCGCAGATGCCTTGAAAAGACTATTATAAGCTTTCGATTTGAAGCGGATCAAGATTCAAGAACGGAGTTCCGCACTGCTAAAATTTTATTTTCCTTTTTAATTTGAATATTTGGGAAACAAAAGGAAAAACTGAAGAAGTAGTCCATCTCTAAATTAATAGACGCATACTAACGGATAAGCCCTCAGATTCAGATTACCCGTAAAATTATATGCAACTGAAAGCCCCGATAAAATGGTAATTAATAAAATGAAAATGAATAGAAAAAAAAAACAATTCAATAAAACTTTTACAATAAAAAAATAACATAGACATTATGATAATTAATCTCAAAACATGAACGTATTACCTATAATGAATCATGCATCTGTATAGATTATAATACATAATACCTGACTTATTTATTTCCGCAAGGCGATTTTTAAATATAAATCATTAAAGAAAATTAATTACATCCAAGTAATTCTGAATAGTTAATCAAAATACATATCAGGAAATCAACGAATAAAGTAGAAATTTTGTCGTTTATCAATTTATTATTATTATAGGGTACTTTCACATGCTGCATTGTTGACAAAACGCAAAACTCACTCATGTATGATATTTTATTTTGTAAGATACTGCTAATTTATTCAGAAGTCTGAACAAAATAGATTTTTTACTATGTCAATTTATTTTAATAAGCAAGGTGTAACGACCCAAATATTAAACGATATATTTTTTTAAAAAATTAATTATTTTTAAATAGCCAATTATTACACTTTACACTATACATTATTACATTAGAAATAAAATGAAGTTTTTAGGATTATTATCATTCATCTTTCAATAATATTGTTCAATCCATAAATATAAGTACATCAAAATTCAATCGATTAAATTAAACTGTTCTTTTCCAGATTACCATTGCTGCACTGATAGCTCAGGCCTTATCAGCAACACTACCCGTACCAAAAGAAAGCGCCGAAACGCCAACCGAAAATGTAGAAACCTTCGATTCCTATGCAGTACGAAATCTTCCTGAACAGCTACCTCTTAGAATCCAACTACCTCGAGAAGAACCACCAAGCGTTCCATTCTATGCTGATCAACCTGAACAGTACCTAAGGGCACCACAGCTCGTTGCAAATCCTCAACCCAACTTTTACCAAGTACCCGTTCCTTCTGAATATCTAACAGCACCAACGGAGGGAGCGTGGAATCCTAATGATGATCCCACTCTGTACTATGAATTGCCAGCATCTATAACAAGAGAAAATATTCCAACAAATGAATACCCTAAAAAATACAACAAAGATGTGCATGGTAAAAGTAAACCGTTATCTTTAGTGCCAAAACACGAAATTGAGTTGGAACCCATCAATGAATCTCAATACATCCAGAAACAAAAGGAACTTTACAAAACTATTCAGCAACTGAACAAGAAACAAAATTTAAAGGATGTTGCGCAAGAAAAGGTACCTGTACGCTATACTAAAAAACCAATCATCACTAAAACCAGACCGAAAGACACACAAACAACTAAACTTCCAAAAATAGTACGTACAACGACGACATCTCGGCCAGTCGAAATTGATGACCCTACTAATTCCGAAACTATCTTTGGGCAAAATATTAACACAGAGTCAGAACACCGTGACCCTAATACATTTACTAAAGGACTATCACCTGAAATAACAAACTCATTGGGACTATCATCTAATCCTGGGGACAAGAATGACAGGGTGCTTTTCCACATGGTGGGGCATGACGGACCTATGAGCTACAAATGGGGATATGACACTGGCAAAGGGTAAAGGGATACTAAATAACTTTCATGAAATAATAAATTCGGCATTAAATTCTGAGACCGTTCATCTTATTTTTTTAATTAAAATTGTTACAAAATATCTACAGGTAATTGTAGTCACTTTTGGATACATACCAGGCACTGCGAGATAGGTGAGTGTCGTCATAATCTCCTATTTTTGAATTGAGCCATCACAATTCTCAGGTCCTAGAACTGCTATCTCACACTCCACAAGAAAGTCATTCCAGGAACTCTTCTATCATAATTCATATATCTCATTATTTCAAGTGTTCTTTGGTTCACTATTTCAGATTTCATATACCTACCTATATTCCACTTGATTCTTGACGCATGACGCATGTCCTTAACAGAAGGTTCACCATATCTAGCATATTGTTAGCCAAACTATCAACTATCAAGGTACCTACGAATCTTAACAAAATCCTTTTTAAACTTCACTAATCCCGGATGGCGGCTCGTCAGACGGATCCTTTATCAGCATCTCGAAATCTTTATGACGTTCAAGGGTTCAAGAAGCAACTTCACCCCAAATTCCCAAGTGGAAAATCCATTCTCATCAAAATGGTTTCAACTTTCAATTGAACTTGAATTGCTTGCCATGACTTACAGCTTTGTCTCATCACTTGACTCAAATCGACAACGATTCTAGGCCAAGGAAGAATATAATAGATTTATTCTTCAACAAGTTTTTGATACTTGTTGGAAAATAAAGACTTGATATAAGAACAAAACCTATTATCATACTCCCTGGTCTTGAATTTAACTTTTCGTTACTGACTTTAAAAATGTAGGAAAGTATTAGATATCTCTAATTAACACATACAATTTTGTATTTCCAGACACAACCGACAGTTTAGATTCGAAGAGAGAGACAAGGAGGGTATCGTAAAAGGACAATATGGTTATTACGATAAGGAAGGAAAATTCAGGATGATGAATTATAACGCACATCCCGACCACGGTTTTCATTCGGAACCTGCACCAGAGAGCGAGTTTAAAGAATGAAGAGACAATTATGTTTTCTATTTGTGGTATAATGTTCCCCAATCTTTCGATTATCGCTACTAGTATTGGTAGAATCTTTAGCTAAATTAATAAAATAAATTAAACTTTTTTTTTCCAAATAGACGAGAAGAGGATGTGTTCTTTGCGACGACCCTCTAGTATTTAACCTCAAATCCTTACAATCGGACACAGTTAGGTAGGGTACCTACTTCTAAAGGTATCTGTTAAAATGGACAAACTAGTGCACCTGTTAGCAATTTCGTTTATGAAAAATACGATATTTATCTACGCTAATTTGAAACTAATTGTTTCCCAGTTGTGTTAAATTTATAGCAAAGTTCATCAATTATTTGTTGATTTAAAATAATTACGGAAACAATTAATCCTTCAAAACAAAGCCAATAATCTAATAAGTACCTACTACCTATTCAATAAAAAAACATTGCCTATTAAAAGTGATTTCCATAATTGTCGTTACTTCTATGTTAGTCTCGTTCTTTGTGTTAAATTTTTTTTTCTTTTGTAGGTATAGCCTAGCGTTTTAGCTGTTAGCTTTAATAATTTTACCATAACATGCAAAAAACAATATTTTGTTGTAAAATGAAATTGTAAGTTTGTATTTTTAAGTGACATGTGTTATTTTGTGGTTTTTTACTGTTTTAAATGAATTGATTTATTGCCAAATTGTATTTTGTAATATATTAATAAAGCTGTTTGTTTAAATTGAAAGTTCCTTTATTTGTTTTTTAAACTTTGCTTTGGATTGATTATTCTGAAAATGAAAAAATAACAAGTTACATAATATAGGTTGGTACCTACTCTAAATCATCCGAGCTTTCAGTTATCGGAGCCCAAAGCTTGTCAAAGCTATTTTATTTTTACAGTATTTAGATTTTCTTGGCACGCAGACGTCTAATGAAACGTTTGCCCTTGCATATACCATCCACGGATAAGTTCTGAGTTCTGAGTGGGGTATAGGCAACCTCAGCAGGTAGTTTTGGCGCGTATTGTATTGACACCTTAGCTCCAATTCGCACTTACACTTTCTAGAGACTGAACTGACCATTTCCAGACACAAGTATCTAAAATATCCCTGTTCTGTAGTAGGATTACGGAATTGCGGAGATTCAAGCCAATCCCGTATCAAATATGAAACCTTAGACGAGACTCAATTATCGAAAAGTCCGCACATTTGGCAATGGAAAAATTAAAGTTATTAGCAAACCGAAATTTTATCCTATACTTTCGCAGTAAGTATGGTCTTTAAAATTGAAAGTGAAAGACCTGTGTATTGACAGATCTAAGAATTTATTGAAGATGGGCATAGTGATAGGTATTCATTTTCCAATTAAATATATCTTCAGTAGGACATTTAAAATTGAGGATTTTGGCACGTCCTCGTATTTGCCTTCATTTCATTCTATACCAACATCTGAAATCATGCCATAGGAGAACTAGGAGAAGTATCGTCTGCAAGTACTGTGAATGTACCTGTTATCTAAAGTTGTGGTAGATGGTAGATCATTTATAAAAATGAGGAAAAGCAGGGGACCATGTACTGAGCCCTAAGGTACCCTCACACTTATACCAAGTTCCTTAGAGGTACTACCATTAAATTTAAGTCTGACCACGATACGACAGGTAAAAACGAATCCATTCCAGGGCAGTTTCCCTGGAACCATATATGGTAATTTAACTATATTTTCTATCAAATTAAACGATTTAAACATTGCAAAACAGGGTGTTGATTTTAAAACTTACCACCCCTATTATCTCGGATTTGAAATATTTTCGAAAAAATTCCTGAAATACGTCAACTATAATTTGAGGGGGATGAGTTTTTATGCAAAATTTACCTCCTCCCTTTCAACCCCCCAGCCCTCAGAGCCACCTCCTAGAAAATCCTAAATGGGAAATGGGAAGGAAGGTCAAGTGATGCATCATTTTGGAGGGTTTTCAATTCCATACATTTTGGTACTAACTGTAGTAACGCGGAAATGAACCACCAAGAAAACAGTTAAAGGTTCTGATTATTCTAAGCAACTAAAGACCTAGGATCCAACTACCAAAAATTAATCAAGAATAACAAGGACTTATCAAACAACCATACCAGGAGAGATCATCACTTAGACAGCACAACCAGAAACTTCAAATAAAAATTATGTGAACATCGATATCCAGAAATTATTAAAAGCCGATACTCTATATTATTGTCTTATACATTGGAATATGACTAAAGCAAAAGTTCATTGAACTTTTTTTTTAAGTGCTTTCAACAATTAACATTCCAAAGGCGCCGAAAAATTTCTAGAAGGATCAATAAATCATGCACAAGCCTATGATGATACCCACTTAACAAACCATTTAGCGACGCCCTTGGTAATTGATTAAAAGGGGACCAAATACACTAATCGATCGGATGATTTAACACGAAAAATCGAGCCAGAAAGAATAAAGAGATTCAAGACAATGGAAGGACAATGATATAAAAAGGCAACTTTGGCAGGGAAAAATCAGTGTTCGAGAAAACCAGTGTTCGAGAAAGAACGAGTAAACCGTCAGAACTACGGTGTCAAAGACCAGTGTCGGTTGAGTAATCAAGAAACAAGTACCTAGTAATCGAGAATCGAGAGACCTGTGTCCAGAAAGTCAGAACTACGGCGTGAAATATTTGTCGAATTAACCGAGAGAAGAAGCACGACGTGAAATAACAGCGCGAAAATATTCGAGTTTTTTTATTTAAAGTAAATTCTTTCGACCAATAGGATTTCCATGTAATTAGGTGTGGCCAGCAGTAAATATATAATTGTTAAATGTAAGTAGAGTTTTTCAGAGCTCAGTCAGAATTTGTAAAGGCAAGAGTGTAATCGAGTCAAACTGCAAATAAATTTTTTTATTTGTCACACATTTGTAAAACGTCATTTATCAAGTCAAAACATCAACAACGAAAATTGATTTTTACCAGTTAGTGGCTCTACTGACTTGTAAAATTGACAGCTAAACTGTAAAAACTTTGGCTCAGTAGACCTGCCCCCCCCCCCCCAGGGAATAATTTTTATCCAAAACGCTAGCCCTCGTTCTCCAGAGCTAGCGCAACCTAGCGCAACTTTTTCGAAAGCTAGCGCAGCTACAGGTCAAAAGATATGTGGCTTTATATTCGGGGGGGGGGGCTAGGGTGACGCTAGCCCCCCCCAGTTATTCGATCTTCTCAAAAATGCTAGCGCACATTCGTAACACCTAGCGCAGCCTAGCGCAAGTTGTGTCATAGCTAGCGCAGCTATCGTAGCTGTCATACAGGGTGGACAAAAAAAATCATGAGCCCCTACAAGTGATTTTTATTTTTCCAAAAATATATATGAAGCTTCCTTGAAGCTAGCGCAGGTAAAATTCGAGCAACCGCATTACCCCTTTAAAACATATACAGGTAGTTATTCGGGGGGGGGGGAGGGGGGGGCTAGATCAACGCTAGCCCCCCCCAGTTGTTAAATCCTTTTCAAAAGGCTAGCGCAAGTTCGTGACACCTAGCGCAGCCTAGCGCAAGTTGTGTCATAGCTAGCGCAGCTATCGTAGCTGTCATACAGGGTGAACAAAAAAAATCATGAGCCCCTACAAGTGATTTTTAATTTTTCAAAAATATATATGAAGCTTCCTTAAAGCTAGCGCGCAGGTGAAATTCGAGCAACCGCATTACCCCTTTAAAACATACACACATACAGGTATTTATTCGAGAGGCGGCTAGAGTGCCGCTAGCCCCCCCCCCCCCCCCACCCCAGTTGTTGAATCCGTTCCAAAATGCTAGCGGAAGTTCTTGACACTTAGCGTAAGTTGTATCGTAGCTAGCGCAGCTATAGTAAGTAAATGTTATACAGGGTGAACTATGAAATCTTACAAAATGTCGCCAGCTCCAAGACAAGATTTAACGTTTACAAGCGCTATCTATTCGCGAAGTAGGTAACTAAAACTTAACCTCACAAAGAAATGAAAAAATTGAGGTAGGTATCTTTTTCAACCTTGATGCGCGCGCAACTAGTGGGTTGTACAGTGACTGTATTACCACAGTGGCGACAATAATAATAGGGTACTTGCATGGAAAATTAAATTGATTATTGTTTATTGCAAACTGTAGGAAATCGAAAAAAAATCGTTACTTTTTTTTTATTTCGCCCAAATATGATTATTCCGGAAGTTATTCAAATATTAAGTTTTGTATATATAGATATACTGAGCATGTGCAACGTCACTAATTTATTAGACAAATGACGTCATAGGCAGATTTCATAGTGTTGTATCTCCGTCAATTTTTGACTAAGAAGAAAAAGAAAAAACACGTGTTGACTTATTTTTCATGGACTATCGAAATCAGCAATAAAAAAATTTGATGCAAGGAGCCTATTGCAGTCTTTTATTTATGATTGGTTTTTTAAAATCCTATATGTTCATATTAATGAACTGTGTTCACTTTGTGGCGTAACTCTTGCTTATTTTAAATATGAATATATACGATTTATGGACATCGATCATAGCAAATTGAGAACAACATATTTGATATACCTAATAATGGTCATCAAATACAGTGTTTTCAATTTTGTATGATAAATGTCCATTTAAATCCTCTATATTCGTATTTAAAATTAGCAAGAGGAAAGCCACAAAGTGGCGGCGGGACCTCTATTGTCGCCACTGTGTTAGGTTTATTGTCACTGTATTGAGTTTAGGGATGGCAACGACATATCGATATTTAGTTCGTCGATATATCGATACTGAATATTGTCGACATTTTTAGTGGTGGTGGCGGTGGGGTTTGTCAGGTTTGTGAAGTAAGAGCTAGTACTTTTTTTTATCACCAATTAAGAATTACGTTGGTTGAATGCATTTAGTGATCCCAGGCAGTGGCATGTATGTGTTTCTCATAGGTTTGAATTTCACTGTTTTCTGTTTTCTAATTTGATTCCGGCCCGACTATAAAGGAAAAAGTATAATTCTGTGTAGTGTGTTTAAGTGTTACATCCCATCGCAACTCATTATTCACGGATGTGTTCAGTGTTTAATGTTTGTTTTTTGTAATAAATTTATGAAATTAAAGTACCGAGCTGACGCATTTTTTATTTTTTTTCATCATCTATTCACTGCTGTACGTAGGTACCTAATTAAACAATTAACAATTTGAAAAAGTTGAAAATAAAGCTAAAATTATACCTAAATATCGATATATTTCTCTTCGATATATCGATGCATCGATATTAATCATTCCGATATTTATCGATATCGATATATCGATATTAAATATTCCAATATTTATCGATATCGATATATCGATATTCAATATTCCGATATTTATCGATATCGCTAATGTAACATGTAGGTGCTGATGATTCAGTTCACCCTGTATAACAGTTACCATAACAACTTACGCTAAATGAACTTCCGCTAGCATTTTGGAAAGTATTTAACAACTGGGGGGGGGGGGGGGGGGCTAGGGGCACTCTAGCCGCCTCTCGAATAAATACCTGTATGTGTGTATGTTTTAAAGGGGTAATGCGGTTGCTCGAATTTTACCTGCGCTAGCTTTAAGGAAGCTTCGTATATATAGGGAGGTCCAAAAAAAACCGGAATTTTGTTTTTGAGCTGTAACTTTTTTATTTGTTGACCAATTTTCTTTTGTTTTGGCTTGTTTGAAAGAGAAATGAACAGGCTAACGAATCAGAGTGAAACTGTTGACATTTGAGAAA